TGGATACAATCCACTGATATTCTTAGTTTTGTTTAAAATAAGAAAGCAAGTATACCACCTACCAGGCAAGTTCAACCCACAGCCCAAGGGGCGCATATGGCCAGGGAGAGTGGTAAATGCAGCCTCAGGCCTACACAAAAGTATAAAACTACTTAAAACACTGAGGGGTTTTATTGTTGTTTTGTTTTGTTAATTCAATTGCTGGTTCTTGAGCAGAAACTCCATAAAGAAGAATGTCATGTTCCAGAGTCAAAAGCTTGGGCACACCTGAGTCCTAAAGCCTGCCAGGAAGCACTGAGGGCTCCATTCATACGTCCACCTCCCGCCTCGTGGCAGATGAGGCCCCGTAAGGCTGAGAAATGGGGCACAGGCCCCACTGGCCAAGATCTGGCCCACCGTCCTGGAGAAGTTCTAGGAATCAGAGCAAGGAGGGAGGTGGGGCACACACACACACACACACACACCCCGTCTTGGCCGGATGCCCGCTGAGCCTGCAGAAGCTCTGGACACTTCAGTCTACTGAGCAGCAGCACTCGCCCCCTGGCTACAGCTCCAGATCTGCCCGGTGGCTTTGAGCAAAACAAGAACAGTGCCGATGGCCAAACCCAAGTCTAGGAAAGTGTCCAGACCACTGTGAGCAGAGTTCTTCACAGTTCAGCCAGGACTTACCTTAACAGATGGAATAAGAAGGAGAGGAAGGGATGCTGGGAAGGAGCCATCCATCAGCTCAGGACTAGCTCATGGCCAGGACTCTCAAGAGGACAGTCTCTCACTACTACAATCCTACCTGAAAAGGAATTTCAACCAAGAAACCCTAAGAGACACCCTCCTCAATAGGAAAGAAGCCATCGAGGCAAGGCCAAAGACAGACTTACTAAGACCTGGGACAGGCCGAAGGACTGCTGCAAACCCCAGAACCCTGTACACTCCCAGGAGTTTGGAACCGGGCAGGATGGAGCTGCTGCTGTCCTTCCCCTGCCACTCAAGGACCCTGTCCTCCCATCCCAATCACGTCACCAGAGAGAGCTCCAGTTCAGGGGAGACCTGCGTAGCAAGCCCCAGAGCGAGCTGCCTGCTGCCTAGAACTGCCCCTGGGGCACTGCAGGATACCAGGAAACTGAAACCAGACTTGTAACAATCACTACAGCAATCTTCATATCCTTTTTACTTTTCAGATGCTACTCACAAAAAGAGCAAAAAAAGATTACAGGAAAAGTCATCTTGTGATTTCTTGTAAGGAGGGCAGAAATATAAATGATTCCCCTTCCTTCTCCCCAGATGTTTTCTGAGAGAAGCTGCTGTGTGAAGCGACTCCCCAGACTTGGCAAAGTCTGTGCTGACCCTCTTACAGACCACACAGCCCTGCCCTGCATCCAAGGAGACTCAGCTTAGCCCAAGCACAGGAAAACAGATGTTTAAGGACAGGAAGGAAACGGAGAGCCAATCTGTGCTGTGGAGGAGTGCCTATGTTACGTTACATCTGACCACACTGCTTGCCTTCCACACCCTGCAGTGCAGGACAGCATCCCTCGGATGGTTCCAGCACAGACCAGGGAAAGTAAGCTCTGATAAAGCTGACCCGGCAGCACCCGTCCACATTCGGCAGGGATGCTGCTATCCAGAGGTGGCGGCTGCCCCAGACACCCACTCTGTACCCCGGCTTACCTCCCATCCACATGATGAAATTGTCACCTACCGGACTAGGTTCCTGGGTCAGGTTACTTAACCCCTCTGTGCTCATTTAACTCTCGTAAAGCAGGTGCGTGGCAGATCCTGTGACTACAGGGAGTGATGCAAGTGCCATGCGGCCCAAGGACCCACATGGAAGATGCCAAGTAACACCAGCTGCCGCTCCCATCTCTCTCCCCTGCGGCCTTACTTACTGCTCAGAAACTTCATTAAGACATCTAGGTCGTGGAAAAGACTGGGACAAAACATAAGGATCTGAACCCCACTAAAGACAACAGAAAAGACCTCCTTCTTTTTATGTGTTTTTATAAGTGTTCTGCCTGCATGTATGACTATGCACCACGTGTATGTCTGGTGCCCTCAGAGGCCAGGAGAGGGCATCAGATACCCTGAACTGTAGCTATAGATGGCTGAGCCGCTGTGTAGGTGCTGGGAACAGAAGCTAGAGCCACCGACAGAGCAACCAGTGCTTTTCACTGCTAAGTATCTCTCCAGACCCTCCTTCACGTTCTAAGGCGTAAGCTATGAGGTCAAAGAGGATAGGAAACACAGTAACAGGAAGGAGCATTAGGAGGCTACGAGCACATTTGATGAGGGACCAAAGAGGAAGCCCAGCCACGCCCTACACACCACAGTCCATAAATGGCCCAAGGTCGGGGCCACCAACAACTCTGGGATTTCTTTCAAACAGGAGAGGAGATGAATCCCTGCATAAAGTCCTGGAGCCCTCCCATCCTCTCAGAGATTATCACAGAAATATTCAGAGAAGTTAAAACAAGGTATCAAAGCCAGGTCACTCACAACTCTCAGAAACCACAGACACCGACTGTGGAAGATGCTTCATGTCAGAACTCAGAATATAAGGACAAAGAGGAGGCAGCTACACATGGTCTCGTAAGGCCAGACTACCCTTACCAAAACAGTGGCATGATTTGTAATAGCAAGAACCTGGAAACAACCTAGATGCCCCTCAACCAAAGAGTGAATAAAAAAATGTGGTACATTTAAACAATGGAGTACTACACAGCGGTTAAAAAAAATGATGACATCTTAAAATTTGCAGGCAAATGGATGGATCTATAAAATAAACCATATTGAGTGAGGTAACCCAGACCCACTATATATTCACTCATAAGTGACTTTTAGACAAAAAGCAAATAAAAACCAGCCTATAGGCCACAACCCAAGAGAAACTAGACAACAAAGAAGACCCTATGAGAGACATACACGGGTCTACACAGGAGGGTGAAAAAGACAAGATCTGAGTGGGGGCATGGGGTCACAGGAGAGGGGAAGAGTGGAGAGGGGAGGAAGGGAGCGGACGTGGAGTTCAATAAAAAACAATTTAAAAAAAAAAGAGGAGGCAGCTACATATGCTCTCATAAAGTCAGAGATTGCCCTTAATCAAAATCCAGAACATCTGGACGCCATCAATCCACAGCTGCGGAGCCATGAAGGAAAATGGCGACAAGGCTGGGCCTCAAAACAGTCCCTACCCCAACTGCCACACTTGGTACGTGAGGACTCTCCCCGAAGGAAGCACTGTAAGATGGCGTTCAATCAGTACATCTGCTCACGTGTTTAGGGGCTGAGTGTAGCACTGTCCACACTGACTACGAAATGCAGGAAATAAGACGCACGGGTAGTTAGAGAAAAGAGGGCAGGGAAGTAGGAGCCGTGCAGCAGCAGAGACAGGACGGACCTAACTGAGATGGTGGCGTGGATTAAAGGAGCACAACCCACACAGGAAGGAGGTGGAGCCCCCAGTAGGATGTGGGAGGTGGCACAGACTAAAACACATCTGAAATCGGGACTACAAATTAGAATCAAGGGGTAAATTCAAATACCAGGTGAAAGCAAAGAGGCAGGGGTAAAACACCCAGCAATGTCCTATCAACCTTCCCTTGAGCCCAGCTGCTCCACAAAGTGCATCAGAAATGGCACCAGGACAATTCTCAGCCTGGCCTTTGTCCTGAGATATCCAAATGCCATCATCTTCCATGGGGTCCGATAAAGGGGCAGAGCAGCTGGGAACGTCACCATACTGGGGACCTCAGCAAACACCCAAGAGCAGAACCACTGCTCAATACAGTACAAAATCAGTACAGGAGCCCCGTACTGATTAAGACCAAGGGTATAACAATCTAGTGAAAGTCTTAACCCAGAGATAACGTCGTCTGCTACCCAGCGAGAGGTGTGCGGGATCCTGGGGAGCTGCTGCTCTTAGACCAAGACTGCACATGTTTCTGACTCCTCATATAAATGAGACAAAAGTAACTGAAGAAAGTTTTAAAGAATTAAACATAGGGGGCTGGAAAGGTGGCTCAGTGATTGGGAACACTGGCTGTCCCTCCAGAGGACCTGGGCTCGATTCCTGGCACCTAGATGGCGACTCACAACTGCCTATAGTTCCAGTTCTGAGGGCTCTAATATCCTCTTTTGGTCTCTGTGGGCACCGGGCAAGCATATGGTACACATATATACACACACAGACAAAACACTCATATGCATAAAATAAATCTGAAAACAACAACAACAACAACAACACACACACAAAGAATTAAGCATAAAGGTGAAGTCAGTAAAATCTTAAGTCTCAAGCAGGTGGGGGTAGAGTACCAGTACTCCAGCCTAGGGAGCCTGTCCTTTGTGCTCTGGTGCTCTGGCCCATGCCAGCAGCTTCAGGTATGACCAAGAGCCTGAAAACCACCAGACTGTCCTTTCCCTGGCCCCAAACTGCCATCACATTCTAGCCTTCACTGCAGCCCACACAAGCCTCGGAGCAAGTAAGTAAACGGAGTGGGGGAATAGAATGGCTCCAAAATCAAGCTTGAAGGGGGGTGTGAGCGTGTTCGCTGCTGCCGCCCGAACGACAGGCAGCACATGTCAGCTCCACCACCAGTGCTGGCCCGGGGCATGTTCCGGCAGGTTCCCGTGACAAGGCAGCAAGGCTACCATCCTCTCTGCCACCCTGGGTCTCGGGGTGACCACGGCAAAAATCCTCGGGGAGAAGGGTGAAAAGTCACAAGGGTGGTCAGAGGCTTCTCTGGCCCCCACAGCAGAAACACTACTGGCGCTGTCTTTGGCGATGTGTATTTCAGGATGAATGTGCGTCTCTCTGCGGCTCTGTGCATATGCTGGAGTACTGAAGGGAAGTCCTACACTGAATCTTTAACGTACATCAAATACTCAGAAGAGAAGAACATCAGCACCGTGCTCTGCATCCTAGAACCCTGACTTCTCTGCAACTGGGCAGCCCTGACAGGACCCCCCACGGTGAACCTAGAGTCCTACGGGGCATCTGGAGTGGCACAGGACTCTCTGGGTCCCTGCTCGGTGAGGCTCAGTGGGTGCAAACACATGAACTGTAGCTGCAGGCGGAGGAATATCAGGTGCATCTCTACGCCCTGAGGGCTCAACTCCTACACTTAAATCCCTCCCACTGGAACAGCCGGCTCCAGTTTCACCGAGCCAGCGAGCCAGCGTGAGAACAGATCCTGCTCCTCAGTCCTCAGCACCTTGCACAGAAGGGCTCCGCATCCCAGCACTGCCCACCTCCGGTAAGTGCTTACAATTTCTTCAAGTTTTCTTTCAAAACTACTCTACAATGTGTCTTGGGGTGTCTGTCTAGGTAGAATGATTGCTGCTGTCTGTTCTTTCCTGCTCTGTTCCTTAGGGATTACTCAGAACCTGGCAGGTGCATCTTGGAGATGCAGACCACAATAACAAAACTCCTAATGGGGCTGATACTTTATTCCAAAAATACGAGCAAGCTTATTTAAAAATCAAGCCCTCCTTTCTGCTATAAAATTTATTTTAAAAATAAACCAAAACATGTATTTATACTAGCACTTAACTGTTTCCTACTTTTCAAAGAAACTACAATAAATTTCAACACAAAAGGAGCAAAAATCGTATATCATATAGAAAAATAACTGTACAACTGCTGGGTTTCACTTCTAGTTTAATACTTAAGACTTCAAGTTTAAAATAAGTGCTGCTTCGACAAAACCTTTCAAAACCAAGAAGCCAACAAAGTTTAAGCTTTTGTTTGGTTGCTAAGGTTACACATACGGGGCGGGAGGGCATTTTTCCTATACGAAAGTTCCCATAAATCTGTATGAAAATAATTACTGATCAAATAATCGGCCAATTCCGACCAAATCAGATTTCGTTTAGGCAGAGCCACCTACATTTGTCATCCCGGTGCTTTCTGAGCACTAGAAAAGGCTCTCTGGTATTTCAGAATGTGTGTTAAGGAAACAAGAGGCAAGGTGACCACTGGTGCAGTGCTGGCCTGGGAGCTGTGTGTGTACTGTGTGCCAACACAACAGAACCCATCTGTTTTCTGGATCTTTTCTTCCACACATAGTCTAGAAAACTGCTTTCCTCTAAGGATATGGCCGTCCTAAGTTCACCTTCATCTTAAAGAACAGAAAGTTTGGGAGGGAGTGGCGGCCAGTCACAGCAAAAACTCAGCTGAAGTAAAACTCACAGATCTCGTTCTTGCGACACCCCAGTGGGCAGACGACAGTGGCGTGCCCTTGAGTGGTGCAACAACGCCACATCACAGTGCTGTAATTATAGCATGCCCTTCACGACGTTCCACCTGCGGGGCTCTGTGCCAGACAGCTGGACACCACCAGGCGGACTATTACAGCACGGCCTTGCTTTGCAGGTCAAGTCACAGGACAAACATAGCTGCCCAGCCTGTCAATCGCTGTCCTATAGAGCAGAGCTGTAATTACCTCCATTGTGTCCTACCGGGGTTCCTTTAAATTACTCTTTCTCTCATCGGTTTTCTAAGTGCAAGCCCCTTACAAACTTTTAAAACCTGCAAGCCGCTCACTGCTGCCTTGACGCTGGCAGCTATGTTTCAGGTCCACACACTTAGGGACCTGCTAGAGTGCTTTAAAGACAAACAGAACTCTGTGGCCAACCGAAACCACCCAGTGCTTGCTGTGTGGGCAGGTATCCCGGATGGCACAGTGTGGGCAGAAGGAAGGTGTTCTCAGCCCAGGGTCCTTTCCAAGGCCAAGTCAAGCAACTGAATATAAGAGCCGGTCGAGTCTCAACAAACACGGCTGATTTATGTCAGCAGAAAATTAGGACAGAGCTTACGGGTCTCAAGCTGGACACTGTCCATGATTTTAGGTCACTGTCATGTTGTATAGTCTCTACTGCATCCCAAGAGGATTCAGAGAAGGAAGTCTCGAGCCAAGGTAGTCTGGGGAGGCATGCTTGAGAAAAGGGCTTCCCCAAGAAGACAGAGGATACCTAGGAACTCTCTACCAACAGCCCTTGACCCAGGCTGGATGTCTATGGGAACACACCCTCAGAACCCCCTGACCATCGTATAGGAAGTGAAGGGGAGGAGGGTTGGGTGCCAGGTAAAACTCCTCTGAGGCTGTGCCAGCACCTAACATGCTAACACTACAGTTCTCAGACAGTCACAGCTCCACATATAGCCTTCCAGAGCTGTATTCCCAAAGTAGTAACAGGCACGCCCCGAAAAAGAGACAGCCACATACCCTTCTTATTGCCTTTAGGAAGAGCTTTCCCCTGAATACAAATCCAAACTTACTGTAAACAGCCAAAGGTCTAGGCTTTACTGTTTTGGCAACAATGTGCACTTTGGGGAATATTTAACACTAGAAGCTGCCAGACAGTACAAAGTCCGGCAGGTATAAACTGACCAAACAGGACTTCGAATAAGCCTCCATGCCCACAGACATATGTGCCTGGCTGCAGTCATGGCTGTGGGTTAGTTTCTTTATACTCATAAACCTCATTTGGGTAGGACAGAGAACTCACAGGCTGACATCATCATCCGAAAGCTTACAAAAGCATCAATTTTATCCCACTTACTTCTCTAACACGGGAGTTTTATAGATGAGTTACACCCGCCTTACACCTGCCTCCAAGCAGCGAGCTTCTGCCTTAATTAGCAATTGTGAAATCCCGAGGGGTCAGTTTATCCACAGTTACTGAAACTACTACAGCTGAGACTCCGTCTTTATACTCATTCCCTTCCAGTTTTAATAAACCTCAGTAAATCGTCTCACCCAAGAACAGTTGCCCAAGAGCCGCTGGGGCTTATCCCACCCAGCCCAAGGATTCACAGGCTAAAAAGTAAAAAAGGCAAAAGGCTCAAACCAAAACTTCACATAGCATTTTACTTTATGTTATACTTTAATAATTTAATATATTACATATGTAATTTTATACATATATAATAGCAATTATTTCCTAAGTTACTCTTTAGGACAACATATGGCGCTTTGTAAAACACTTGCCTCCTGAGAGACATAGGAAAACCTTACAAGGACAGTGTGTTTATTTAGCCACAGTGGTGCGCTTACTTCTGCCCCAAACCACCAATGACATTCCCTACGGTTGCTTCTGAAGGCCCATCATTACTTCCTTTCTAGCTTATCCAGGACACACAGTGCCGTCCCCGTGTCCATACTCAGCCACTGGGAAGAAGCTCACCCTCGATAAATGTTTGCAGCTGTCATCATTTTGATGGTGGTGCTCTCAGTCAGTGATGAAATCACCTCTCTCAGATCTGTGCCATGACATATCCTATACAGCCATGGGAACCTGCCTTGCAGAGGTTCTCACGCCTTCAGAATCAAGAGTGTAATGAACATGCCAGCACAGGCCTCACTGACTTATCGAGATGCCCTCATCAGCTAGTCAGACGAGGCTTCTCAGGTTCCCTGACGGAGGCAGGGAGAATGTACTCCAGGTTCACGCGGGGCCCACAGAGAATTTCTTTCCATTTTCCTTTTAATAAGAGAGAAAAAGAGAAAGTCACAGGGCTTTTCCTGTTAACATGCTCAGCTCTGACAGTGTGCCTCATAGCTTCTGCAGCAAAAGTGTGGTCCAGGCGGCACCCCCGTTGACAGTCTGAGTCTCTCCCATGCCCAGAAGCCTAGGACCCTAGCTTCCTTCCAGCCATGGGCACCTTGACGTTCTTATCTAAAATCTGTGCTTCACCCTCCGGATACGCAGACGCTCACAGTGGATTGCTTTCAGTATCAGATGAGCCACCATTCTCCAGAACAACCACTTAACACAACAGCCCTAAACTACGGTACTAGGGTAGCTGGTGAAGGGCACTTTAGCTCTTGGTGGGCTTGCTCCTGCTGTTTTGAGGGAAAATTTTTTTTGGCTAAGCTGTACAGGCAGGTCTTGAACCTGAGACCCTATGCCTTAGCGTCTCCTACATGGAATTGCGGGTGTGCACCACAATGCTGGGCATAGTTCTTTGTGTTTGATATATATACGTGTGTAATTTATTTTTATATATTATACATGGAGTATATATTTACACAGAGAGACAAATAAATTAGAAGAAAAAAATAAATAAAACCAGATACATCCTCAGAATATAAAGTATACAAGTAGACATAAGGAACTTGCTCTTGTGGCCGGCCACTCCACCCCACTGCCCACCATACACACACACACTGAGGACAAGGGAGACAGATAAGAGAGAGTAAGACTTTAGTGGCTGCTTCTGTTTCTAAGGGTCTGGCTGGCAGACAAGTTTCTGGCTAGGTCTAGAGGGCATAGCTTTGCACTTTTCTCACAAACTTAGTTTTAAAGCTGAGAACACTTTTCTTAAATATTTCTACTGAGTGTTACTTTTAAGTATTTAAAATACTTAGCAGGAGATCTTTCCCTTTTCACATACACAGATCAAGGTACCTGACCTGAATTCTTCATCTCATGCCCAAGCTCCATCTAGAGTCACCCAGATGTCCAGGCAGGCAGTTTCGCTACGTGCTCAGCTTTGGGTTAGGAGCTGGATGTACCTGAGGCAAAATAGTTTCCTCCCTCTGCCTGAACACCACTGCCCCGGTCTTTTGAGACGGCATATCCAAGGAAAGGAGGGGCAAATCTATGAGTTTACTCCCAAACGCTGGTGAGTGCCAGGGCAGAGAGTCACGGGGACTTGCGAATCATGCCAGCGGCACTGCAAACCGAGTTTACTGAAATAAAGCGTTCACATTGTTTGAGCCAACATAAATGCTACTGCTTACTAGGGCTGAGGATGCAGCTCAGTGCTACAGCAATCACCCAGCAAGTATGAAGCTGGGTGGTAATCACCACCCCAACATCAGCAAGTACTACCTGCCAATAAAGTGGGCTTTTCATCTGTGATTTTAGAAGCAGTAGGGCGAAGTCCTATGTTCTTAAATAGTCTTCATTTTTAAATATTCACTAGTAATAATACAAAGCACAGCAGTAACACAGCTAAACAGGGCCAAGCTGCCTTGTAGCACTGAACTGAACAATGCCACAGCAGTTTATCCCCCTAGATGTTTGCTCTCACACAGCACTTGGAAAAGAGGCTCTGGTACAGAATCCTATCAGAAACCCCAGAGAAACTGACCAAGGAAAGGTCCAGATTGCAGAATAAAGGCCCCCAAAACTCAAAGAATCACCTTAAGCACGCTGCTCCCTTAGTCCCCAGGCAGCTCTTGCAGGTCAAGCTTGAGAAAACGCAGAGCAGGTAGGTAGGGTGTCACCCACTCTCCAAAAGCTCTAGGCTCCTCGTCTGTCTAAAGTGTGGCAGTGCCGACAATGACCTGCTAACTGTGCCTGACACCCGTCTCTGTCTGCCTTCACAGTTCTAGGTGCCTGATGGAAGGACTTTCCCTTGTTAGACCCCCGGCACATGGGGCTGACCGCAGATAAAGTGCTCAGAGCAAGAACACAGACCAGTACTACCTCCTTCAAAGCCATCGTATCCTGGTCAAAGAGTCATCGGCAGTGATCACAGACTGAACAGACGAGAGTCCAGATACAGAGGACAATGAGTCTCCTAAAGGAACGGAAACCAAAGAAACCACACTATATTCCTCGGCCCCCGGGAAAGCCCTTCAAGTACAAATGCTTCCAGTGTCCTTTCACGTGCAATGAGAAGTCGCATCTTTTCAATCACATGAAGTACGGGCTCTGCAAAAACTCTATCACATTGGTGTCAGAGCAAGATCGCATCCCCAAGTGTCCCAAATCTAGTTCGCTGGACCCTAAGCAGACCCACCAGCCAGAACCCACCTCAAAGCCAGCTGCTTCCAAGTCTCTCCCAAATGGACTCTCCAGCTTCGATCCAAAGTCTCAACAGGGCTCTACAAAGGAAGATGCCAAAGAGAACCTAGAGATGCAGGCCCGGGGGACCCACAAGGGTCCCCAGAAACCAATCCTACAGAAAGAAGTGACACCAGAAGCCATCCTCAGCACCCAGCTAGACAGTGGGGGTAGGTCTTCAGCATTTGTTCCAGTTGGGGAGCACAGACTCAGGGGGCCGGAAGACACAGAGGCTCCTGAAATGCTGGCATTAACCAACTCTACCACCAAAGCCACCTCTTTCCATGCCAAGTCTGCATTCCATACTCCTGGTTACCCCTGGAAAGCTGGCTCCCCATTCCTGCCACCTGACTTTCCACATAAAATCCCATCTACAAAGGGGTTTGGTGCTATCTCCCCCTATATGCACCCTGCAATCCCCGAGTACCCCCATCCCTTCTATACGGAGCATGGGCTGGCTGCCATCTACTCCCCCTACCTCCTGACTGGGAACACGCCTGAGTGTGACGCCACTCTGCTGTCTGTCTATGGGTCCCAAGACCAAAGACACTTCCTGTCTCATCCTGGACCGATCCCCAAGCATCTGAACACAACTCCGTCGACATACGACCACTACAGATTTTTCCAGCAATACCACTCAAATCTGCCAATTCCTTACGGATTTTACAGACCAGAGTCGGCATTCCCCCCCTATGGTCTCCGGCTCCCACCTGTCCCTGGCATCACACGAGATCAGAGCTCTCGACTGCTTGAAGAAGCAGCCCTGGCTTATCCAGCCTCAAGTCCCTCCGAGTTAAATCTTTCAAACTCCCACAAAAAACACACAGAGTTTGAGAAGGAAAGCCCTCTCCCTGAGGCCAAAGATCCTTCTAAAGATGGGCAAAGGGATGCAGAAGAGGCAAAAATGAGTCCCCGAGCAGGGAGCGCTGCCACGGGCTCCCCAGGGAGGCCAAGCCCCACCAATTTCACCCAAACAAGCCAAACATTCGAAGGCCTGTGTGACCTCTCAAACAAAGCAGCCTCCTCGGGAACCCCGGAGAGACTCCAGCAGCCTGAACAGAGCCCCACTGCCTTCAAACCTGTCCAGAGGGGATCAGAAAGTCCTCCGTCTCAACCTCCCGCAAACAGAACAGAGTCTCCAAAAAGGTAAGAAAATTTCTTTCTCAAAAGCTTCAATGTAGTTTTGTTTAACACCAAGTTCACACGTGACTAAAATGCTTTACATGATGATCTTCCTAAAATTTCTCTTGATTTCTTCTAGCCTTCAGGTCATGAACGGTGACTCTCCAGCCCAGACAGGGACCAGTAACTCTCTCATCACAGAGGCCCCACCTTCTAGCCCAGAGGACCACTCCAGGATAAGCCCCCTCAACCTCTCAAAGAAGTTGGAGACCAACCCTGCAGCCACTTATGGACCCATGTACGTAGACAATGCTCAGGCAGACGCCCTGGGCTTCTCGGGGCTGCAGGACCTGCCACTCAATCTCTCTGTAAAGGATCCCTGTAATGCCTGGGCTCCTAGGCCTGTGTTCCCCAGCCCACCGCAAGGTGCTGAACCTGCTGCTGCTCTAAAGACTGAGACCAAAGGTTCCGAGGATAGGATAAGCCCCGTGGAGACGCAGGAAGACAAGGCCCACGGCAGGACGGCCCCAGATGCGCACACAGTAGACAGCTGCGATGAGCAAAAGCAAACCGCGGCTGTCGCTCTCTGTCAGCTGGCGGCCTACAGCCCGGGGAAAGTCCGAGTGGGTGATGAGGAAGGCACAGCCCAGGAATCCACCGGTCAAGATGTGCCCACTCTCGGTTCTACGGAGAACCAGGGGGCTCAGTGTGACCTCAGACCCAAAGGACAAAAGAGGACAAGTCAAAGGGATGCAGGAAAATCCCAGCAAGGAACTAAAAAGCCAAGGCTGAACGACACCATACCGAGAGTGCTCACGCTACGCAAGAGAACCCGGGTGTCCTGAGGCCTCACGTGCTTAGCGCTATGGCCAAGAAGATGCCTTTCACACATGTTCGAAGCAGCATCTTCGCTTTTTTGCTTCTTGGAGGAGGTACAGTCTTGTCATGTTGTTCAAGCTGGCATCAGCCCAAGTGCTGGGACACCCAGTGTACCCCGAGTTTACCTTCACTTTTTATCAGTCAGTTTTTATAAACAGTTTCTCTTTTCTTCTCAAAAAAAAAAAAAAAAAAAAAGACAAATGGCTGTAATCTTGTCCAGGTTTTTGTAAACATTAAGAATAAATATTAAAAGGTGTTTCTACTTCTGGTTAAAAAAAAAATCTGAGTGGCTTATGCTCTCCAAGACTGACAGATTTAACTGGGCTTTCCTGTTTGAGACACATCAAGGAACTATACAGAACTAAAATCCAGCTCGGCAGTGTGAGTCAGCGGAGCAGTGTGAGGAACGACGTTTTATATGTACTGTTTCTCAGGACTAGTAAACTTTTACTGTTTTCCTATTGAATATAGTTATGTGTTTTGATGCCAGAAACAGCTTCAGCTTGAGCATCGGGTGTTACCTGTAAAAAGTGTTGTGGTTACTTTTTACTGAACTGATCACAAGCGTCCAGAGGTTGATTTTACAAGTAATTTATTTCCATCAGGGAAATGCATTTCTGGTTAAGGTAGGATCAATTTATTCTTGTTTATGATGTCACAGCAACTTTCTCACTCGCGTTCAACTCCCTAAAATGATGTACATGTTAATTTTCCAATAAACTCTTGTGTGAACTTTGAGGACACATGGAGCAAAGACCAACATCAGGTCTGTGGTATTCTTTAGAGTTCCGCTATAGCATTCAGCAAGAAAGAGTTGACAGCTGGGGCAACAATAAAACTAAGAAAGTACTTCTGGGGTCGGTGAATCAATCACCAGAATCCAGGCATGGACAAATCTTCATCCCTGGGGCTTTACAAGGACCATCTAGGAGTCCTGAGTCTCAGAGTGCAAAGAAGATAAGTCTCAGGAGCCCTGGCCCCAAGTGCTACGTGGGAAGGGTTCCACCTTTCTCGGTCCCCAAAAGCTCTTCTAGTCTAGACAGAGATGGTCTTTTATCCTGCATGCAAGAACCAAGCTATAGGCACTGAGCAGAATTCATGGTTTCTTGTTGAAAAATCCTTTTCCTCTGGCATCAATTCCCAGCTCTTAGCCAGTCCCCATAGAGGATGCCCGGTGAAAGCTGGCCAGTGCCCTACCTGTTAGGTATGATGATGTTAGGCATAGAGAAACACTTTGCAACTGGTTAATGTCATATAAGATTTCAAATATCGGGGCTGGAATGATGGCTCAGTGGTTAAGACCTGGGCTCAGTTCCCAGCACCCACATGGCAGCTCACAGCTGCCTGTAGCTCCAGTTCCAGTGGATCTGGCATCCTCACACAAGACACTCATGCATACAAAACGCCAATGTACATTAAAAAATAAATAAATCTTTAAAAAAATTTCAAATACCAGCATAAGCAGGATGCAGTTTTTCACAACCGTTAGGAGATACAGGAGGCCAGTGCTGCAAGCCATCTCTAAAGGTACAGCAGGTTTCCCACTCATGGAAGCAGGAAAGCTTTCTGCTACCACCTGGTGAGGCCGGAGGAGCCCTTCCCTTCCAAGGAGCTAGACGAGGCCTTTGGGTCCATCAAACCACTACATACCACTAACCTAAATGTGCTCTCTTAGGATATAAAACCAACAAATACAATCTTATATTTTCCAGCCTGGCTCTGTTTGTTTGTTTGTTTGTTTGACAAAGAACAAAAATATGACCCCTCCTGCTCCCCATCAAGTAAAGGCCTGTGGGAAAGAGGAATGACCCACCAAGCACTGTCTGCTCCGTGCTCACGGTCCAAAGCCTGGAATTAACCCACGTAAGAACTCAGCCCTCCATTCAGGCCCAGAACTCTGGGTTAGTACCATAGATAGCTCACCCACTGTCTACACCACCTTAAATGGCAAACAAGAAGAACCTGACCAGCTGCCTCCCATGCCTGGGTGAAGCATGAGAAACTACTCTACCAAACAGGAGGTACTAAGCCTTCGGAAAGTTGGGTCTGCACAGGTACCCCTGGCCTCAGCTGAGAGGCCCACCATGGAGAAACACCACCCTCCAGGGACAGTTGCTCCAAAGGTCACCTTCAACAGTATACCCATGGCAACTAGAGTAGATATTCCATCTGCCTATAAAACAAAAGGAATCCCTGCAGTCATATAATAAAATACTAGGATCTTGTTTCCAGATTAGTACCTCTCTACACTCACAAATGATTGGCTTAAGATTAAGCGTATTTAAGCGTATTTCTGGCTAACTAATATCTTAATTTAACCCATTTCCATTAATCTGTGAATTGCCACGTGGTTGTGGTTTACCGGGTAAAGTTCCATCTGGCGTCTGTCTCCAACAGGGGCTGCATGGCTTCTCCCTGACTCTGCCTTCCTTCTCCCAGCAATCAGTTTAGTTGTGCACCCCCTTCCCCCCACCCCACCCCCGCCTAGCTCTACCTTGCTATAGGTCGTCAAGCCAGTTTCTTTACTAATTAACCAATAAAAGCAATGCACACACAGAAGGACCTCCACCCCATCTTGGGATCATTATACTCTATGAGATGGCCCAGCCACAAATGCAAAATATTCTACACACTTCGTACTTCCATGAAGACCCAAGAATGGGCAAAACCATAGGAACAGGAGGTCGACTGGAGTTATGTGGGATGGGAGACAGGATATCTACTCAGAATAACAGATGTTGTAGAACTAGATGTATGAAACAGTTGCCCAACAGCAAGAACATAATTAATGTCACTGAGCAGAATGCTGGGAAATGGCTACAATAATTTTTGTTTTATATATTTTTAACTATATGTCTAAAAGAAATGAAATACACCAAAATCCATTTAATTACATTTTAAATGAGTAAACTGTATCTCAATTTATATTTTAAAACAAAAAACAAAACCCTTTCTCAACAATCCTGACAACGGTCCACTGTGATTTGTCCTCTTCCCACAACACTTTCGACAGGGCAGGAAAAAACAGATACGAAAAGAAAGCACGGGAGGACAATCTGTCCAGCAGCAAAGTCATAGATGCCACATTGTAGTCACTTTCTTACAAACTTGGGTGTCTGGCAGCTCCCAATGGCATAAACGCTAAAAACTAAATAACAGTGCAACTCTGGGACCTGGTCAACCTGTCCCTGACTAGGGACCTGTTTGCCTGGGACCTACAATACCAGGCATCTTACATATGTATTATCAGGGCCAATGAAGATGTCCAGTCTTCCTGTCTAACTCCCCCCTCTTGCCTCTCTCTCACACACAAGCAAACTCTTCCATGCTTAATCCTATATGGCATTTGCTACTTAAGAAGATCCAGACAGATGCCACAACACTACCCAAATGTTCCTTTTTGGTTGATGTCATGCAACACAGCAGAACAGCAGTTATACGCTGTTGGGGACTGCAGACCAGCAGACCCTGAATTTCCTTGTTTTCCTCTGCTCTGAGCAGCTGCTCTAAGTGTGAGACCCTGATTGGCAGGGGAGTGCTTTCTGGTGAGTCTGTAGCTGAAAGATCCTTCCTGAGAGCTGGGGCCTGGCCAGAGCCCTATATAAGCTGTCCCCGAACTCAATAAAGGGGGCATTCTTGGGGAATTCAAGGATGACCTGTGTCTCTGCCTCTCTGTCTGTGTGTGTGTCCATCTCCAGCCCCTTTCCCAGCTCGCAAACGGTCCCATGGTGCAGGTGGTACGCTAGAGACATGCGTAGTACAAGTGGAGGCCCCCAGCGAGATTGCGTTACAACGTGCTGAAGTGTTAAACTGAACAAAACTGATAGGATCAACTTTTGCAGAAGTCTGGATACTAATCAAGCACTTATGACGACCAGAGGGAGGCTTACGGAAGGAAACTACTATTTCAGCACCACAGATCCCCTCACACCTCACCTAATGATGAGACACGGAACAAACCACAGTAAACAAACACAAGACAGTCACAGGGTCAGTGGACACCACAGGCTTCAATGCATCCAGAGAGCAAGTGCCTGTGGGGAGGAGGCTTTTTAAGTGCAGGTGCCTATTAGAATATTCAAAATATTTTATTTTCAACAAAAACAAAAAATTGCAAGGCAGACAAAGGGAACAGGAAAGCAGCCCAAGCAGTGAGTTTACCAAACACAGGCTTTAAAATGCTCAAAGGGAACCACAGACCATATCTGAACCAGCTCAAAATGTCAACAAAGAGACAAATTATAGCAACTTGACAGAGGTTCTGAAATTGAAAAGTCAACAATTGAAATGAAGGTTCTCTAGAGGGATGTGATGATTGATACTGATTGCCAACTTGACAGGATCTATAATTATTTAGAAGACTCTGGGTGTGTCATGAGGGAGTTTCTAGATTGAGTTAACTAAGATAGGAACCTATTTTAAGTGTGGGACACACCATTCCATGAGCAGGGGTCCCAGACTACATAAGAGGGAAAAAGTGAGCTAAGCATCTTTCATCTCTCTCTGCTCCCTGACTGAGAATGCAACGTAACCAGCAGCCTCACACTCCTGCCGGCATGCCTTCCCAGTCAAGACAGACTGGACTCTTAAAATACATGAGCTAAAATAAACCCTTCCTTCTTTTAACCACTTTCGTCAGGTAGAATCTGGTCCCAGTGATGAGGACAGAAACTAACATGGGGCTTAGTCAGATCTGCGACAGGTAAAAGGCAGAATCAGTGAACATAAGGAAACTGAAATCACCCGGTATGAGGAGTAATAATAATAATAAAGGAAAAGAACAAAAACCTAAGAGACCTGAGGGATAAAGCAGAGTACAACTTTACATTTCCAAAATTCAAGTCCCAGGGTGAAAAGGAAGAAAGAGGCAGTGAACTATCTCAGGAAGTCAAGGCTGAACACACTGAAGTTTGGACGAAAGATAGGACACACCCAAGAAACTCATAACACATGACTTATTGGCACAAAATTCTCCACTGAATAAAAACAGCAAAGAAACAGAAGGTTTTAACCAAGTAACCAAAGAGATAAGGATGTTTAATTTCAAAACCTAAAACTGGGGGTGGGCATGAATCATCAACAAAATTAGGAACACAGGTATACACTCTATTAGAATACTAACACCAATCAAATACAGCCACAGAGAAAATCCAGCCAAAACCGTAAACAAGGCTAATGATGATGCCCCATGGTTCAAGGAGCGACTCCCCCCAAAACCAAGAGAATCAAAACCAGGACCAACCAAGCATCTGGGCCACCTGGAATAAAGGCTAAGCAGTCCTCTGATAATGGCCAAGGTCCTTATCCACCACAGCAAAGATCAAACAAACAAACTAGGGCTCAAGTGTGGGGGAATACATGTGTGTAAGTGCTCACGTGTGTGTGCATGAAGGTAACTTGGCAGAACTCTTTAAAGAGACCACCAAGTTGCTCCTTCCTGAGACTTTGCTCAGGTCTGCTCTCTGAGGCTGTGGTAAAATCAATCTGACCTCCCCAAAGTCACTTCCTCCCTGACTTCAGCGTGTACCCAGAAAGCTTCCCATGTCTTCTGAGACAAAATCAGAAGTTTCGTTTACCAGCGTGTTCATGGACACCTTGTCTTTCCAGACCGTGTTTATCCTTTTTCTTTCCTAAGAGACAGGGGCTCTCATATTAGCCCAGCTAACCTCAAACTCACTGTACCAAGAACATGAATTCCTGATCCTCTTGCCTCTAATTTCCAAATGTTGGGACTGTGGTGCTTTTCCTTCCGTCAGCTCAGAAGGCTACATACTACACAATGGCTATGAGAAGCAAGTATTCAGCCGTGACTTTAAACAAACAAGACCACTCTCGGAGGAATGGTGTGAGATCTAAAACAAGAACATAAAAAGCATCCTTCACTACGGAGAAACCCTGTCTCGAAAATTCAAAAAAAAAAAAAAATCCTTCAGACGTTCCATGTTAGGGTAACCATCTTCACACAGGTTCTAGAGCCCCTGTCCCCCTACCTGACATGACACTTCCTCCATCAGGAGACAGTACGGGGTGCCCCTGGCACAAGAAGAAGCTTCAGGGAGGTTCAGTTCACATGGAGGTACTGCAGGGCTGGAGGACAGCTCCCCACAGAGAGATAATGGGCTAATTTATTCCACATCACGTTGTTAATAACAGCTTGACACCGTGACACCAGTAATGCTGTTATCCTTACTCCAGGTGGTGGAATTGACACAGTCTAGTGTGCTGAAACATGGCGCAGCACATACAAGCTGGCCCCACTGAAGAGACCCGAAGAGAAACAGCACCGTTCAGGTTCCACGGCACAGCAATAGGTTTCCACAATGATCCATCTGCACAGACCTGCTGATCTCCACATGGGCTAAGGAAACTGCCCCCTGCCTCCCCAAGTCTGAATCCGGTCCTTTCTGACAGAACAGTGTGACTCTGCCACACCACAACTCCTGGCAAAGAGACAATCCTAGCTATGCAAACAGTAACCATCTAGCAACACCTTGGAGCCGGTTCAGACTTCTTCCTTGGCCATCAGGGATGAACAACCAAGCCATGATGAGATGACTGACGTCCTACAACAACTACAATAGTAATTATGTCTTAAAAAGAGGGAAGACAAAAATAAAAATGATGGGTATGTGAAGAAAGTGGAGCTGGTGGGAGTGTAGAGCAATGCACAATACAGTCAAGAGTCTGATTTGTTTCTTAGACGAACCAGCATTTCCGCTCCCAGGTCTACATCCACGACAAATAATAACACACGTCTGCACAAACACTCAAATGCTCACTGCGGCATTACTCAAAAAGTCACCTAAATGGTTACTTAAACTGATAAGACTAAGCAAAAAGCAGTCCCTCATGCGGTGGAATCCCCGACAGCAGGACGAAGCACCACCACATAGTGACCATCAGAAAATCACGTGACGTCCAGACACAAAAGAACAAACATCGAGGTTTGTTGACATGAAATTCCTGAAAAGGGCAGAACAGAAGAGAGGACCAGAGGTTGCCTAGGGCTAGGTAGTAAGGTGGGAGCAGCTGCTCTGTGGTGCAGGATTCCAGCCTAAGGCAATGAGAATGTTCTGAGGTTAAATTACATGATGTCAGAGACCACCATCAACTGTACACGGGTAGACGATGCAGGATGCAACATATTGCGTTTTTAAAAGCAGAAGGGGTAAACAGAACACAGCTCCAGAGAGCCTCCCTTGTGTTCCAGTGCTGATACTGCAGCTTGGCATCAGTGACATGCAACCCACACGATTCCTGGGTTTTAACTCTAGACCACCCATTCTCAACCTGTGGGTTATAACCCCTTTGGGGGTCAAATGACCCTATCATAAGGATGGCATATCAGATATTCTGCATATCAGGTATTTACGTTACAACTCATAACAGTAACAAGATTACAGCTACAAAGAAGTAACGAAATAATTTTACGGTTGGGGATCGCCACAACGTGAAGAACTGTATAAAGGGCTACAGCACTTTAAGAAGGTTGAGAACCACTGCTCTACACAAAAGCCACACCCTCACAATCTCTGGGGCACACTTTCAGAAAGGACCGTCTCCATCCTTTGTACTCCTTTCCCTTCCACTCACGAGGTACTTCCAGACAGTGGCGCATGGTCTTATTCTGACTCCACCTCACCAGGACCCAACAAACAGCCTTGGCACGGCACTGTGCCCCGCCCTGAGGTCAGTTCCACTGCTGCCACAAACTGTGTCATCGATCAGAACACTGTCACTGCAGGTCACACAATACACTGCGGGGGCACCAAGAGCTACGTCTTCAGGTACTCTCCTCAATGGGTGACAGTACCCCCGAGAGAGAAGCAGTTCTAGAGACAAGAAAACCAAATATGACCAGGGTCCATGACCCTCTAAATCCGGCACAACAGAGCATATGCAGCATGAAGCTACAACAGGCTAACAAGGTAATTAGTAAATTACAAAGGCTGGCGTGAGAAAGAAGCCTGAGGAACATGCATATACCATGCATATACCATGCATGCCCTCTCCAGAAGCACTGGTGTCCACAGACAGCCACACTGAGGAACCCCACCAAGATTCAGCAGCCCTAAGGATGCAGATCCATGCACTTCAGTTACTTACCCTCTGAGAGTCTCGATGGCAGCAACAGGCCTCGTCTCCCCAGTTCCGCCAAGGCCAGACATCCACCATGCCATGCCTTATCGGTCTCCTGAAAACTAAGACCACAGTTCAACAGTCAACTCCATATTGAAAGCCCACACTTTTGCAAGAAACACAAGTTAATCCGTATTCTGGGCCCATGAGCCTTATTAAAACCATGACTTCTTGGTTAAACAAATAAGGCACTCAAACCTAATACGAAGACAGCCGCCACATCAACACTACCCTTCACATCACCCAATGATAATGAAAGGACTTGGGTCAGCTCAAGACCAATCCAGAGACATTCCACCATCTTCAGCGTCAAACCAGGCCATCTTGCCCTACATGACGTCCTGCCACCATGGCCACAATGCTCTGACCTCAGCCCACTCTGATCAGACAGTAGAGAGTCAACAGAGATTCCAACATGGCACCCACTGTTACCTCAGTGATCATATTCAAGATTTAAAAAGAGATAAAATGAGATGGGCACTGTGTCACATGCTCTAATCCTGGGAAGTGGAGGCAGGAAGGTCAGAAGTGTAGGCCATCTCAACTACACAAGTTCAAGGCTAGACTGCTGAGACACAAGAGATCCCATCTCAAAACAAAGGAAAGAAAGAGCATTTAAGACTTTTTCAAAGGCACGGAGGTATCAAGTCTGGCTATGTTCCCAGACTAATGGCAATCCTCCTGCCTCAGCCTCCCAAGTAGCTGGGCATACGAGAACCCAATTTTACACCCAAATGAAATAGAGTCTCACAAGCGACATTTTATATTTAAAATCAATGTGTCTGGGTACTCAAAAGGTCTCTTCAGGGTGTGGCCCGTCGTAACTACAACGTGAGTGACTGTCTCAGACTGGTCAGGGCTGCTCTGAAGTTTCTGTATTTTGTTGCCAACATAAACATGAAGATGCACATCACAAAAAAAGCAAAACAAATGACAGGATTTTACCTATTCTGGCTGAATTCATTTGACAGCAGAGAAATGTGTAGGAAAGTCATCACTAAACTGTACACCAGCTGCTTTGCACATGAACTACGAGGAGATGAAAAGACATCACTGATGTCTACAAGATGGACACAGCATGGGCCTTCGTGCGCTGTCAGACACAGCTGTCCTCCTACTCACCACCACCACCAATGACTCACCCACAATTACCATTTCCTAATGTGCCAGGTGTCTTAGCAGGTGCTGCTCAGCGGCTATGCCATCATTGCAAATCTTGGGTTTTTTATTTGTTTAGACAGGGTCTCGTGGACCCAAGCTGGCCTCAAACTCACTATATAGCTGAAGTTGGCCTTGAATTCTTGACCCTCCTACCTCTACCTCGCAAGTGCTGGGATTATAAGAGCATGCCACCACACCTGGTTCCATTTCCAAATCTTTATGTTCCTCGGGATTTCAAATGGAGAGAGACGCTTCCTCGTGCTTTTATGAGGGTTACCATCAGAGTGAACCTAACACAGTATAATGCAATAATGACTCAAATACAGTAAACTAACTTCATTTCTAAACTACAAGTCAGGCAGGCAGGCCTGAGATGCTGCTATCACCACTACATACCCGTGTCTGAGAAAATCCAGCCTGACTTTGGCCAAGTGCTAAGGGCACGCTATTATCCCAAATCCGAGCCTAAGCTCCCACACCTAGGGATCCAGACAGAGAAAGCACAAAATGTTGGGATGCCATAAGTGGGTTAGAAGAAGACACTGGGAGACCCAGGCCTCTGTACAGACCCAACATCTTGACCCTTCATCAGCATGCAATGTGGGCTGAGAATTCAAGAGCAGTAACACCCTTTCTGTCTCCAGAACATAGACATGGAAACAGGATATACTTTTGTTTTGTTTTGTTTTTTTTCAGGATATACTTTTGTATCTGCCATCTATTAAAAAGAAAAAGAAAAACAGACCCTATGAGAAGGTTAAATGAACTAGGCTCCAACATTAGACAAGACTGTAAGCCAGGAGAAAGGAACAGAGTCTGGAGAAGCTTTACACACCAGAACCCTGCAGAACTCAAAGAGAATGGGCTAAGAATATCAGAGAGACTGGAGGCAAGAGAGTGTAGAAGAAGTTCCAGGAGGGTGGGGAGAGGTGCACCTGCATAAAAAGTTCTAGGTGACCGGAGGGAATGTGCAGAAACACCCTAAGAGGGATGGGCAAAAACAGTGCTTAGAACTCTGCAAAAGCTGGGAAATGATGGAATCCAACCCTTCCTAAACTTGCAAAAAAGGCCTTAGCTGTCCTCAAAAGCCAGTACATACTGGTACTAAGTTCATGGCATCTCCAGCACGCCACCTCGTGACTTCCAGAAGGCGCTCCAGGGACAAGGTCTAAAACAAATCTAGAGAATCGTGAGAAAAGAAGCTACACAATCTCTCCTCTCCACACTCCACAGCCATCCCAGTAAGAATGTTTTCTGCTAGTATTCCACTACATATATGGTCAGTCTAAAACCGTCTCTGACACGCGACCTCCTGCAGCTTCCACTACATATACCGTCAGTCTAAAACCGTCTCTGGCACGCAATCTCTAGTAAACTGCCTCTAAGTAGCCTCAGGCAAAATGAAGAAGGGCCCACTCCAGAAGGAAGCCGATTTGGGCTGTTGGTGGGTCATCTTTAAAGACACAAGGAGACTGGAGCACCCGAAGCACTGATAACATAATTCCTGCCAGAATAGCAGGCCCAGAACAGTGTTGCCAACAAGGGGCCATGAAAAAGGAGTGTCTGGACAGGCATATGCCCCTGCTCAACTCTCTACTTCTAAAGCCCAGGAAGAAACCATCACACCAGGAATAGTAATCATTAGGAAGGAAGCAAAACCGATGCCTCTGTCTATGAGCACACAGTGCCAGTCTGTGACCCAAGGATCACACCCACCTAATAAGCCACATTACACACGGGCCATGCGCCCACACACCCGGAATGTCCTGAGAGGCCAATCCATTACAATGCAACTCCAGGCCTCAGACACTCAAGGGTCTTAGTGTCCACTCTGGCTAGTAGCGACATGAGGCCTATAGATTCAGAACGTTCCCTCATTCTATGAAGCTCTGCCCATCCGCAGTACAAATGCAAAACCCACACTTGAAGATGAAGACCTACATTCCCATGGGTTCAACACTAGCGTCATTTCTTTCTAAAGGTTTAAGATACATAATGGTGCTGAAAAGAACAACGTATCGGATAACTTAAGCTTTCAAGTTTAACCTGAAGAGGGAAAAATAGGCTTTGGGGTTCTAACAAACAGCTCAATTGAAAGAAAATACTCTAGTCCACAAGAGCAGACAGCTACAAGGAATGACCTACCTGAAGCAGTCCAACACAGACCCCACCACATCGTCTGCCAGCTCTCTGGGAAGCCTTCCAGCCATTCTACCAATCCTGAAAAGAAAAGCAAGAGTTTATCTGCTATATACACGACCATTCCCCAGAGGACGGCAAGCCTCAAATACTGCTCAGCAACAATGCCAAGGACAGGGCACGTGACTCTTTGGGCATGTGAACCGGGAGTGTGGTCACCTCTCCCCAGAGTAATACAGACACTGAACTCATCACTGATAACAGCCCCAGATACCAGACAGCTGCAAAAGCCAACCTAGGCCCTCTCCCCTATACACTGTCCCATTTCCACCAAAGGCTAGTCCAGGTCTGCACAGAGGAAAGCAGAGACCTGAAGTCAGGCCCAGGGGAAGGCTCCTCCTAGCGTGCTCACTGTGTGTTTGTCTATCCCTCCCAGCCGGACAGACTTCAGGCCAAGAACATCTGCTATGGACATAGATTCCCAGGGCAGCCCCCTTCAGGGGAGAGCTTCCTATCTGTGATGTCAGGGGAACCTGTGAGCGGGACACAGCCCTGCCTCACTCTATTTTTACCACACAGAATCTCTTCAACAACCTAACATGTAACTTATAGGAACCAACTATTAGTAATATTGGCCTCACACCACTTCAGGGAGCTTAAATTTAACCTCAGAATTTTTCTTTAAATGTTTGGGTTTTTGAGACAGGGTCTCACGATGTAGCTCTGGCAGCCCTGGAACTTCCTACATAGATCCGGCTGGCTTTGAACTCACAGCAATCTGCCTGCCTCTGCCTCCCAAATGCTGGAATTCCATGCCCAGCCAGTAATTACCTTTCAATGTACAGCATATAAAACAATAGTTCTACCATTTGAAAACCTACAAACTATTTACAACTCTCAAAGCCCATGCAAGGTTTTAAGGAACACCGGCTTGGACACACCGGCCCCTCACCACTGGCACTCAGCGCCGGCCCCCACCCGGCTTCTATACGTACCCTTTGGCTGCAGACCACCGCACCACGGTGTCCTTGTCCTTCAGCCCAGTGAGCAGCTGCTCTGCAAGAAGCAGGACACACACCATCAGCCCACACAAAACCTTCGTCCTCTTCTTGTATGCAAACTACTCCACCAATCCTGCACTCTACTCCAAAGCATACACTGTGCAAATTGTGCTGAGAATCTTAATGTTAGCCAGCCGTGGGTTACCCATGCCTGTAATCTCAGCACTTGGCAAGCTGAGGAAGGAGGAAATCAGTTTGGAAAGCCTAGCACTCAGGAGGCCAAGGCAGGCAGATCTCTTGAATTCAAAGCCAGCCTGGTCTATACAGAGTTCCAGGCCAGTTAGGGCTAAACGGTGAGACCGTTTCTCTAAAAAGTAAGAGTCTGAATTGTTTGCTGTGTTTTTCACATTAGATGAAGGATGGGTGTGACGTGGCATGCTACTGCCTGAATGTAGAGAGACCAGAGCTGGTTCTCTCCCTCCACCACTCAAGTTCCAGGAATCAAACCTGATTTTCCCTTTACCCACTGAGCCATCTTGCACGCCCAACAGGTCTTGGTTTTATTTTAAATGTTGTAATACATGAGCGTATTGTCTGTATGTATATGCACAATGTGCATGCCTGGTGCCTGCAGAAGTCAAGAGGGGGTCTGATCCCCTGGAGCTAAAGTAACAGATGATTGTGAGCCATCTTGTAGGCACTAGGAACCAAACCAGCAAGTGTTCTGAGAGCTGAGCTCTCTCTCCAATCCTGAGCCTTCATTTTAGTTACAATGAAAACACTTCTTCCCTGCTTTTAAACAACCACAGAAGAGGGCATTGCTGTCACTTCCTAACAACAATCAGCAAGGAGCAAGCTGCCTCCTCAGGTAAAGGCCTCAGTGAGCCAGAGAGGTCAAAAGAAACCCGAGACATCTGGGAAGGCTCCCACAAGGGAAGATGAGGTCTTTGGGGACTAGCCCAGAGGCAGTCTGAAGGCTATTCTAGGTCACACAGCCCTACAAGCCCAGTATGGTCCAAACACTGGTCAGAGGGCAAACCCCAGAAGATAGCTACCGGTCGGGGGTGGGAAGAAACCAATCAGCAGGCTGGGTGGTCTTTGGGAGAGCAGAGCATGAAGCAACATGCCTAAGGCAGATAAGCAGGCAATAACAGAGGAGCAAGAGAACTCATCCTGCGTCTACTGAGTTCAAGGTGGTTTAGAGGGACTCAGGACAGGTGTTGTGACGCAGCAACCAGGGAAGAGAATCCTAAGGAGGAAGGGGTCGTCCCAGAAAAGACCAAATATGTGTGAGTGCTGGCTGCAGAAACACCACTATGGAGGTCAAGGAGACGATACAGACAGCAGGGATAGACAAGTCTGGGGAAAACTGTCCTGAAGAATGAATGGACAGAACACAGCAAGGGAGATGATCACATGGTTCTGTACCTCCTGCCAGGATCCACCCAGGAAGTAGAAGCTGAGGATCCACTCCATCCAGCATCCGTAGTAAGGAAGGGAGAGTGAGGAGATAGTGATGAACCTGAGGCTGGGCACAGTAAAGGGGGGACTGGGAACCCTGGGTCAAGATTCCTGATAAGTGTGGAGGCCTACAGTAGTCTGAGATGATGAAAAGCGTGCTCGGACAAGACAAGAGGATAAAGGTTGGAGACATGAGTTCCACGTTCCAAGTCTGTTTTCCTGGGAACCCTGATTCCCTGAAGACAACCAGGGAGAGCAACTTAGGGGTCAGGTGTACGAAGGCAGTGTGGAGGGGTGAAGGGACAGAGGGAAGCTGGTGCTGCAAGAGCGAGTGTCCATGGGGAGGTCAGTCAGGGACCATACGCTAGGTGAGGAAGGGAAGGGGAGGGTAAACAGAGAAGAAAAGCACAGACATGCTGTAGATGAGGCGTGCGTGACACACACTGTGGCTCCACTTACCTATCACGCTCTCCACCCCCTCTGGAACATCATAGTCTTCATCGCCATCAGAAGTTAAGCTATCGGACAGTGGCTTCTGCTCACTCTTACCCGGGGCACTGAGCTGCAGGTTGGCAGCCAAAGACCGAGAGCCACGCTGATACCTGTGCAGAGCAAAATCATCTCAGGCTGGTAGGCACAGCCTGACCCTAAAAGCAAGCTGTCTGGTAAGTGAAGTCATCAACTTAGCATCCCTCAAAACCATACAAGAGGCCTGAAAAACTCTCACACACCATACAGACTGGGGGAGAAAGAAGACTACTGATATAATACTATCAGGACAAGCCTCAAAGAAAGTCAACCTAGAGCAGACACATGCCCTAATTCTCAAGAGCCATCCACAACAAAGTCTGAAGGCAGAAGGCAATGGCAAGGCCTCGCCACAGGCTACACATGAAAGACATCAGGTCCTCACCCTTGCTCACAAGCAAATGGCTGCCTTCTCCAGCTGTTTGACATTCTGGCCTCAGACCTCAGCCCAGGCCACAGGGCCCACTCCTTACCTATGCGCCAAGTGCAGCTCTGAACAGATCTCCCAGTTGCCTGGGGAACAAGCAAAAGGGAACCAACAATAATGTGGTTCATGGACACCACTCAACCATCATCTGTCTGGCCCTGACCAAGCAACTCCCTGCTAAGAGTCGGCATACCAGAGTAATCAAAGCCCACCTCCAAAGAGAATTGTCTGAATCTCTGAGACCCACTTGGGCCGAGATAGTATTACAGGGTGCTCTCCTCCCCAACACAGAATCGCAGCTGTGCACCCACCTTTACCTCCGCCTCACAGGCACTGCCAAGACTGCAGCAAACACACAGCACAGTGCTGCGCAGGTCACTAGACAGGCACGAGCTGCGAGAATGAACACAAAACTCACACACAATCTCCCTCAGGTCCTCGGTCATTCCCACAGTGAGCAAGGACAGGACAGGACCCAGAGAGAAGATCAGGGGAAAGCTCCACAGAGTTCTCAGCACTCAGGGGATCTTAGGGACACTGGCTATCGGGTCCAGAGAAGACCAGAAGTTCCAGCTCTCACTTAAGGAAAACCTGTGTACAGAAGAGAAGAACTGAAATAAACTAACAAAACTAAAGCCAACACAAGACAGGAAGTGGATCCACCCAGCACGCCACGGCCTCTGAAGACCAAACTTCACCATCTGCACTGGGAAAAAAGCCTTTAGAGAGTAGTGCTAGGAGATATAACAAGAACCTCAAAAGAGAGAGAGATAGAACGAGGAACTGGTCACAGTAGTTCATGCCTGCAATCCCAGCCCTTGACAGACTGAGACAGAAAAAAAACCCAGGAAATCAAGGTCATCAAAATAGCAAATTCAAGGTCAGTCAGTCTCCGTTACAGAAGACCCTTTCCCTGCACAAGTGGGGAGGGAGAAATAAAAGAGAAAAAGGCAAGAGAAAACAAATAGCAAGAGGGTGACCTTGAAATCCAATCATTAGTCAGACTTGGTGGCTCACTCCTTTGATCCCAGCACTCGGAAGGATCTCTGTGTTTGAGGACAGACTGGCCTACAAAGCAAGTTCCAGGACAGACAGGGTTGGGGCTACATATACAGGCTCCATCTCAAACAAAACAAAACAAACACCAGATCATATTTTGGTCTGGTTTGGTTTTTTTTTTTTTTTTTTTTTTTTAAGCGACAGAGTCTTACTACGTAGCTCTGGCAGGCCTGGAATTCAGCATGTACAGCAGGCCAGCCGTAAGCTTTCCTCCTACCTCACAGAGTGCTAGGGTTTTGAGTGTGCCACCAAGCCCAGCAAAACCTAATTCTATTAATAACGACATTATTAGGTGTGCAAAAATAGAGACAAATAATGGTAATATTGAATCATTTTCTTAAATTAAGCTTCTTAGTAGCTGTGAGCATTAACTGAACACATCTGGTATGTCTCTGAGGACACTTCTGGACACACGGACCAGCTCTAGCACAGGTGAGTCTTGTCCAATCAGCTGACAGCCTGGGCAAAACAGAAGGCTGCCTCGCCCACCTGCCAGCCTCTGGCTAGGTCACAGGCTCCTCCTGAGTCTGCAGACTCACACCTTAGATCACTAGAATGTGGCCTGCACTCAGCCTGAGAGTGAAGTGCACACTAACACGTGAGGATACTTCAGTTAGACATCTCTAAAGCCCAACATATTCTCTGAAATTCACTACACTTTTAGAAGAAGTTTTAACGAAACTTATATAACTTTTCTCAAATCACACACATTGGTAACTGTGTGCAGCTCGGTGGTAGAACGCTCGCATTCAATAATGGTAATAGCAACAGCGCCAGCACCTTCTAGACAGGATGGCACAAGCCTAGGATCCCAGTACTCAGAAGATTAAAGAGGAGTGTGACTCCAGGCTAGCCTGGGCTACAGAATAAGCCTGTCTCCAAAATAAACACCACACACACACACACACACACACACACACACAAACAATATGCTGTGAGGTATTAGAAGACGTTACATCTACCAGCAAGAAAAGACACTTTTATTTCTGAACAAACCTTCCAAAGTGAGCCAAGTTTTCTCTGAGAGGTGACTGACCAGAAAGCTTTCCCCCAAGATCCCAAGAGCCCAAACCAACACCTTGGAGGTACACCTGAGCAGTACCTCAGGGAAAGGCAGAGCAAGCTTCTCCCATTACCATTCTAGCTTCCGCTATTCTGCTGAAGATACTGAGTCAGAAAATAGCCAAAAGACAAACTATTCCTTCAAAACCAGAAACACTCAGACACCAAAGGGGAAACCAAAGCAGAAGACGTTTGCTGTTCAGCCCACACAGCCCTCTCCTCTTGAGATAAAAACAAGGTCACAGGCCTAACTTACCTCCATGTGGCCACCCTCGGCTTCAGGAAAGTCAGCCCCAGCCTCTGGACGAGCTTCACGCCAAGCTTCCTCAGCAAGGTCTGGTTGCTCTCGGGGAGTCTGCATCCATCAAGGCACTGGAGCACAGTGTTGGCTGCAGATGAGAACATGCAACTCAATGCAGCAGGAGGCGGCATGCACCCCTGAAATGGGTCAATCCCCATTCACACTGAAGCCCTGAGCAAGACCTCGTTCTTCCCAAGTTATCTGACCAGAATGCTAGAGTGAAGCCTCTTCATTGTCCTAACCATGGAACAAAAAGTAGAAAAGGCCCAGAGCGTAGGAGAAGCCATCTTGCTGCAAGCAATCATGCAGGGCCCGAGGGACACTGGGGCACAAGCGTGGGCAAAAGAAGGCCAATTCAAATTTACCAGTGCTTCTAGGGTTTGCTTTATTCAAGGAGTGCTCATTCAGCACTACGCTAGAATGGAGGCAATGCTGAGGCAGGACACTGAGCCCCAAGGGAGCATAATAGGACGAGCTCTTACACGAGACCCTGGGATGCATAGGCCATCCAGGGAACTAAGGTGGAGCGGAATATGATAATTGCATTCTACAGACAAAACTAAAGCCTAGGATAGAAGCACAGGGCTAGGTCTCTGAGATGGACCGGGTGACAAGAGAAGTGAGGAAGGGGTGAGGGGACGGGGAAAGGGTGTGAGGCCACAGGCAGGGAGGATGAGGACGATGAGAGAATGGATGGGTAACAAAAGATGACGTGATGAAGAGGAGGGAGCACGGGGAGGGGAATGAAAGGACAGGGGAGGAGGAAGGAGAAGGAATGACATATTGGAGTGATGGGAGGGATTGGGACAAGACCAGGGAAAGAGAGGATACAATGGAGAAATGGGTGGCAGGAAAGAGGGACGAGCTGAAGCAATGAGAAGGGGATGGAGTGATGGGGATCGGAAGTGAGAGGCCAGGAAAGAGGGTGGTGGTGAACCAAAGGAATGAGTGAGGAGGGAAGGTGAGGCCAATGGAGTGGGAGATGGGAGGATGGAAGGGGCGGATGAGGGGATGGGGAGAGGGGATGGGGGAGGGGATAGAGGAAGGGATGGGGAGAGGGGATGGGGGAGGGGATAGGGATGAGGGGATGGGGAGAGGGAATGAGGGGGTGGGGGGAGGGGATGAGGTGATGACTGATGGAGAGGGAATAACAGGGAGGGGTGAAGGGGAGGGTGTAGTGAGGAGGGGGCAATGGGGAGGGAGATGAAGGAGAAATGAAACGGTGAGGGTGAGAGGGACAGAGCAATGAGTATTATAAGGAATGACTCACAGGAAGAGGCTAAGATGATATGGGGGGGGGGTGAAGCAATGGGGGACGGTGACACAGGAAAACAAAGCAGCTATACAGTCCCAGGTCCCATAGTAGGACCAAGTCTACTATGACCAGGGCACGATTAAGTCAGGGCACTTGGAGCATTGCAAAACCCAGCTCTTCACTACAGAGCCTCTAGCAATTTCCTATTATCATAGTTATATTAAGAAACAAAAACCAGAAAGTCAAAGAACTGACAGTGTCCAAATATACAAAGCTACAGGTTCATGCTTGAGCAAAAGTGTCACGGAAGGACACAAACCCACAGCAGTATGTTTATTCTGTTACAATACTGTTATATGTACTGTTACAATACTGTTTTATATATATACTGTTATATATATATATATATATACACACACACTGTTATATACACTGTGTCACAGAAGGACACAAACTCACAGCAGTATGTTTATTCTGTTACAATACTGTTATATATATACACACACACACTGTTAAATACACACATACACTGTTATATACACTGTCTCACAGAAGCACACAAACTCAGAGCAGTATATTTATATTGTTCTTTAAATTAATCTTACCATAGGGTAGACAATCTTCACGTTTTCCATGCTTAAATATTTGAGCCTGAAAAAATAATATACTTTAAATACATTTCTAAGTTTAAAATGTACACAAGTTATCAGAACAAACTCATTACATCTTCCAGAATGTTTGCTGAGCATACACTTGTAGAATACTCCTTTATACCAGGTGAATATATGTCACTGTGACTGGTTTACTAAAGAAGCTGACTGGCCTATAGCTGCACAGGATAAGGTTGGTTAGGAAGGAGAACCGGACTAAGAAGACACTAGGAAGAAGAGGACAAAGTCTACAATGAGCCACATGGCCGAGCACAGATTAAGAAATATGGGCTAATGTAGTTAGCTAATAACAAGCCTTAGTTATTGGATAATTCATAAGAAGTCTCTGTGTGGTTATTTGGGAACTGGCTGGCAGGACAGAAAAGCCCACCTAACACCAGGTGAAGAAAGTCAGTCCCTGATAGAGGGAAGTATAGAAAAGGAATCCTCCAACAGGTCTGCTCATAGTCCTCCAAGGGGCTCTGATCCTAACCTGCAGTACGTACAGACTGAACTACAGAGAGGTGCAAAGTCTCATCATTGTCATCTGTGTACAAATTCAGAGCTGTAGACCAGAGGATCCACACCAAGGTGAGAAGCCACGGAAGTCTTCCCTCCTCTCTCACCACCTTAGCCAACCCAGGAGGGTTCCGCCCTCCTCGCCTTCCACAGAAGTCTTCAACCCTCTGCCACAGCTTACCACTGGATCTAGCACCTCCCAACTCACCCTCCCTGTGACGGCAGCCACACAGCCTGCAGACTCTGTACACAGTGCTAGATTTGGAGGGCAGCAGCAGACAACTATTTGACTTCACTAGAACTAAGTCCTTCTCTCTAGCATACTTGCTAGATTACTGGTGCTTACCAGAACACTGACCCTTCAGTTAGAACATTGATCCTGATCTCCTGGAATCTGTTCCTGACTTCTACACACACATCATGTCAAGCATGCACCAAATACACACGCACACACACCGCACACACGAATAGTTTTTTTTTTTTTTTTTAAGAACACTGACCCTCACTGAAACACTGGTCCTCGCTAGAATTCTCTTTCACCAGAGCACTGGTGCCACACTGATTCCACACATTTACACACATGCAAACCATAAACACAAGCAGACATGTGGTTCATGTCTATAATCCTAGCACTTGAGAGACAGAGACAAGAGGATCACCATCAACTCGCAGCCACCCTGGTCTACACAGCAAGTTCCAAGGTATCCAGAGCTACACAGGAAGAACCCTGTTTCAAAAAACAAACAGGCAAATAAAACATGAGCATAAACACATGTAGACACACAAGTCTATAAGCATTTTAAAAGGCATAAACCCACGTAATGGCATATAGCAACACATATATACAACATATATACAACACATATATACATGCACCAAAATCAAAATCAGGTCCAATCAGTGTCTAGCCATCTGCATTGGACCCTTCCTGCTGGTCCTCACAGGTATACACAAACATTACATACATAACACATATAAGCATCCACACAAACACATACACACAATTAGACACACATGTATAAGCACATACACACACATATGTATAAGCATCCACACAAACACACACATTAAAACATAAAATCCAGGTCCTGATGTCAAGTCCCAGCTCCACCCAGTGCTATTAATAGAACCCAGAGAAGTCTGATGCTTGTTGACTCCCCAGACTGTGAAGCTGCTCAAGCAGAACAGGTAGTGACAATGGGGAGGGAGTCTCACCTGAAAGCTGGGGCATCACAAGGCACAAACTCTAAAATCTGTCCACACAAGGGTCCTGCAGCACAAACTGTGCCTCTATGCTCAGTGAGTGGGGAAAGGCAACCCAGCTCCTTCAGCTCCCACCTGGGAACTGAGACCAACCAACCACAGATTCAAAATGCTGGCAGTCACAACCCCTTAGCAGAAGCCACATTGTCTTCTTCAGCTCTTTCCACCAGCTCAATGCCAGTCCATGACACAAGTCCCCTAACTTCATTTTTCTCTAGAGACCCAACAACCACAGGCAGCATCTCTTCAACACACTCAGAGCAAATGAATGGCAACCCGGGACTCGGGCCCTTAACTGTCACCTCTGAAACACCATGTCACAGCTTAGAACCTGAGAGGCCTCAGGGAGGTGTCACCAAGGGAAAGCTTTAGTTTGGGCAGGCCAGAAGGAACCTGCCAGTGGACCCTAGGGCCCTGCACGTTCCCACTCTCTATACCTGCCGCACTCGGCCGCCACACACAACTGGACACAACACAAGCACTGTACACTGTAACTCTGGAGCGGGTCTGGCACCAGGAGTAAACAAGGGAAGAGCATGGCCCTGCTGGCCACCCGACCACCATCTGGGACAGAGGCTGACCGCACCCTGCTGCCCACCTGTCCACCCTCTATCTCACAGCACATAAAAGCCAGCCCAGGTCTGCAAATTGGGAACTCACACAGTTCAGGCCCAGATCATAAATCACATGGGGATAATACAGAAGTGAGACCCTTTTCACTTTTAAAAAGTCCACAGAGGGGGCTGGAGAGATGGCTCAGAGGTTAAGAGCATTGCCTGCTCTTCCAAAGGTCCTGAGTTCAATTCCCAGCAACCACATGGTGGCTCACAACCATCTGTAATGAGGTCTGGTGCCCTCTTCTGGCCTGCAGAATATTGTATACATAATAAAATAAATAAATATTTAAAAAAAAAAAAAAAAAAGTCCACAGAGTCCATGTAAGGCTTTGTGCCTGTCCAGAAAGCAGCCAGGAGCACAGGCCACAGCCATAAAACAGACAATGGCAACCACACTTAAAGCATCATGGACCTCAAAGCGCCTATACTTCTGAAGCACACTGAAATCAGAACTGCTGGGTGTGTGTGAGCAGAAGTTCAGAGGGTGTAGCTCAGTAGTAGATGCACTTGCCTTCCATAATTAAGACCTGGACTCACAGGCCAACACACACACACACACACACACACACACACACAAAAGTAGATCGATGTCCAGAATAAGGAGCATGAGAAAGTCAAAGGGCAGTGACTTCAAAAGGATGGCAAAGGATTGTCATGACCTTTCGGGCAAAGACCTCAAAAGAAATTAGCATAGGTCAAAAAATAGAAACTTTTAGCCTGGCGGTGGTGGTGCACAGCTCTGATCCCAGCACTCAGGAGGCAGAAGCAGGCAGATCCCTGTGAGTTGGAGGCCAGCCTGGTCTACAAGAGCTAGTTCCAGGACAGGCTCCAAAATCTTCAGAGAAAAGAGAGAGAGAGAGAGAGAGAGAGAGAGAGAGAGAGAGAGAGAGAGAGAGAGAGAGAGAGAGAGACAAAACTTAGCCCTCAAGGGAAGGCTCAGCAGTTAAACGCACTTGCTGCTCTTGCAAAGGACCAAAGTTCAGTTCTCAGTACCCACATGACTGCCTACAACCACCTGAAATTATTCCAGTTCCAGAGGATCCAATGCCCTTCTGGCCTCCATGGGTACTGCATGCATGTGGTGCACATACAGACAAGCAGGCAGAACGTTCATACATATATGGAATTTTTCTAAGAAAACAAAATAAGTAAAAACTTGGAGTAGAACTATATCATGTAAAGAATGGAGTTTGTGGTTTAGAATCCTCCCACAAATAAAATCCTAGTAGGAAAATTAGTGACTTCATTACTGAATTCTAGCTAACATTCATGGAAAAAAATACCACCCTGCACAAACTCTGAGGAAATGCTTGCCAGCTGGCTGTATGAGGTCACTGTTACCCCAATACATAGCCAAGATTACAACAGAAAACTACAACCAACAGCCATGGAATACAGATATAAAAACCCTTGAATGGACGTTAGCAAACTGACTCCAAAGGCATTCTACAAGGACTTTACACCATGACCAAATGGGGTTTATCCTTCATGGGCAAGGAATGCATGGCTAGTTTAATATCCAGTAATCCATTAATGTACTATATAGCAAATTAACATAACAACAAATAAAAATACACGATTAGTTTCCTGATGAAAACTCAATAAATTGTAAAGGAGGAGGAGTCTTCTCAACCTTATAAAAGGCAGCTGTGGTGACTGGAGAGATAGGTCAGCAGTTAAAAGTATGTACTGCTCTTCCAGAGGACCCAAGTTCAGTTCCCAACACCCACATCAGCTAGCTTAAAACCACCTGTAACTCCAGGGGTCTAACAGCCTTTTGGGGCCTCCATAAGCATTGTACTCACATGACAAATTCTCATACAAACATATACACATAATTTATAATTTAATATTTTAATATTAAATTTAATAATATTAAATGATTTGATTAATGTAATACAGTTTAATTTGATTAATGTAATACCGAACAGAGAGGCAAGTAGCAAGGTGAAGGAGAACCAGAGACACACCAGCAGTCACATGTATAGGAACATGTCATTATGAAGCAGGGTTAGTCCTCAGGCAGCGGCAGGTTAGGGCCACCACTGACCAGCCTCACCCCATCACTAGGCCAGTGTCCCGCTGCCGCTGCTCAAGCCGCTGCCACAGACGCCACTGCTCACCCTGCTGAGGGCAGGAAAAAAACGGAGCTGCAGCGCTACCCACAGATTGCAAACATGACGGTGCTTAGGGTCCCGGCAGGGTGGCTGGCACCAAGAGTAGAGAGATGCATAGCAGCCTGGAGCTCTCAAAGGTCCTGGTCCCAGACTATGTAACATCCATGATCGGTGCTTCTGCTGGACACCGTGCTGACATCATGATCCATGCTGCCCACGGAGGAAGGAACAGGCTGATGTCCATGATCCAAGCTGTCGTTGGAAACTACGTTGATGTCCACAAATCATGCAGAAGTCATGATCCATTGCACTGCCGGCTGCTATGGACAAGGAAGCTTCTTTTGCAGTGATATTGATGAACACAGACTCATTACTGAGAATGAGAGACAGCCATGGAGTAAGAAGGAAAGAAACGTATATAAAATAGAGAAAGGTAAAGTTCAGAGACAAAAGGTAGATGGGATAATCTAAGTTAAGAAAAGCAG